ATCTTGTGATCACTCTGCCAGGCTTTTGAACAAATGTGCATTGGCTAAATCACATCATACACACGCTTATAATTCTTCATAAATGAAAAGAACATTCAAATATAAGCCTTTACTTTTAAATGTGATTGCCGTTATTATTGAATTTCATTAGTCCCAGTTTTGATTGATGCACGGCTGTTAACGGAAAAGTGAGCAAGACACGACAGTTAGGCTACAATATCATGATTATGGTTAAATACGAAAATACATATAACCAAATCAGGCTACATTTATTTTCATACTAAATATCTCAACACACATCATTGGATATGACATTAAGCGCGACTTGTGTAGATACATTTAGTAAAAAGGCTTGCCTGCTTTCTTTGGCGTATATTTGTATACTTTTACTATCTAATCAATCTCAGCATGCGTTAATTTTGTGTCGCTATATGTTTGCCTCACTAAGGTTATATTATGCCTACGTCTTTCTTTGGCCTGCGCTCTAGAAGTGATCTGTTAATTCTGCTAAACTTTTTATTAAAACTGAAACTAAAACTGAAACTAAACTATATACAAACTAAATAAAAATGTGTTCACAAAATAAAAACTAACAAAAATATGAATGAAACTAATAAAAACTCAACTGAATTTTATAGCTAATTTGAAAACGATATTAAAATAAAACTAATTAAAAAAATTCTAAACTATAATAACCTTGGTGTGTAGAGCAGGGGGACGCGAGGAACAGGATTAAGAACTGCTGCTTTAGAACATTGATTTTGAAACTTGTGAATCCATTAGAATCGTTCTTAATAGCATCTTAATACATCAAGCCATATTAAGTGTTTATGTTTTTCTACGGGAGGAAAATGCTTAACGAGAGACTTTGTGCATTGTGTTCATATTCTGCTGTTCTGTGGCCACGGATTTGCGGGTCTTGTCTTTTTCTTGCAGGACCATGTATGTTATTGTACTAAATTAGTTTTAATCATTAAATCACCATCACAGCGTCTTGTCTCCATTGGCAACACGCACGATTTGTGTCAATTGCAAGTGACGTCGCAGGTAGCGGAGAGCGCAAGTGGCGATTGCAAGTGACATTGTAATTTAGTTAATTTTTTCTCATCTTCACCACCTGGCTACTGTTGTAAAATGCTGAGAGATAAAAAAAAATCAATAAATAGAACAAAATAAAAAATAAAGACTGCAAGTGACGTCAATTGCGGAAGCGCAAGTGTCTGAGAGTGCAAGTCTGCAGCCAGATCCTGTTGCCCCCTTTGCTGCCTTTTCCCGATGGCGGGGTTTATCTGGGTTTGTGATGTCACGTACCCAGGAAGTAACTTGTTGTAGTCCCTACCAGCCGTTTTTGTAGGCATTAAACCGACAGAATTTTAAAAGAAGATATCTCCGTTTGCATTTAACTTTCAGCTTCGTAACTTTGCAGATATCGTTTATGCTCAAACAGCAGCATTACACACTAACTAACGTTAAAAAAGTGAAATCGCAATCAACCACCCCTTTAAAATAATAATGGGAAAAATCCTAATGCTTAATATGGCACCTGTAGTCCCGTCTCACAGCTACGTGTTCGATGAAGGTGTTAAAAAATGTATTTGGTTTTGGTTTAGTTCTAGTATTCTTTGGTTCCTGTGTTAGATTTTGTTCCCAGTTTTCCCGCCATTTGTTTGTTTCCATGGATGTTAATTAGATGTCACCTGTTCTCTCTTCTGTTGATGAGCTTCCCTAGTATATTTAAGCTCTCATTTCTTTCTGTTCTTTGTTCTGTGTCGTCAGTGTTAAATGTGTGTAGTTTGTTTCTCTGTGTGGATTAAAGCTTTTACTCTTCGTCTTGCTCCTTGGATTTTATACTACTGCAGTACATCATGATTTGTGACAACTGTTATACATTTCTAAACAGATTATTAGCTAATGTACACTTTAAATAGGTAAGAGTGTCAGGATACTTTGATAATTTCATACAAATTCCTATTTATACAGATGATGATAACCATCTAAATGATGGTTATTATAAATAACCAACAATAGGGTTCCCAATTCTAGAAGTTCTAAACACTGATTTTGTAAATAAGTTGTAAATAAAACAAAGATTATTGGAGCATCTGTTAGCCTATCTAATTAAAAAAAGAAGAAAAAACATTTAATTCAATGTCATTGCAGTTTGTAATTGTTTGTGAAATTTACTAGCAATTTCTGAAAAGTGAAAACTGATTCAAAGTAAATCCTACACCAGTTTTCTCTCTCTCTCTCTTAGTGCAGTTAAAGCTAATTTGAATGGAAAAAGTGAAATAAATATTTAAATCTATATACTTCAAATCTCAATATTTATTCATGCTAATAAAAAAGTACACACAGACTTTGAGATCAGGATCTCAGCTATATAGCATTTTTTTTTATTTTTTCTGTTAATGTTACTGTACATACAATCCTTTATCAATATTATCTTCTTTCTGCGGCTTCTTTGATTTGATCATTTGACTGATGAAGTGCATCTTTATTTTTCCTTTGCTTCCTGTACATACAGTAATCCATAAACTTGTCTAATGTTATTACAGTAGAAACCCTGAGAACTAGCGGATTGCTTTCACCACATCGTGAAATATGCCATGAGACCAGGTTGGAAATATGACTGCTTTAAAATGCATTAGGGATTAGTTTGAGGTTAGCAGCACTAAAAATCTATTATATATGCTGCATTCCTGATTTTTCTTGATCACACACACGTACATATATGAGACATGAATCCATCACTCAATCAGCATGTGGCCTAAAGGTGTTTTCAGTCTCATCTCTTAATCTTCATCAATCTATTCTTGGATATTATATGTCTGATAAGTCAGAATAACAAAAGCTGCATATGTCTCGCTGGTTACCAATAATGGCTGAGCCAAAACAATTATTTAGACGGAGTCCGATTGTCTCGGGCCCTTCTCATGACACTGAGACTCACGATCTGTCATCTGTGATATTATGGATTATTCATCTCAGGGGAATTATGTGGATGTGAGAGGCAGGGCTTAGTGTCCAGTGATCTCCATCTCCTCTGTGTGCTGTCAGATTAATACTCTGCAATGTATTTAACAGCACTTTGTTTAAAAATATCAGTTCAGCAGGATCTAATCTTATTTAAGATGACAAGAAGTGTGCATTCAATTCAAATTTGTCTAGTTTTTACATGACAGCACTGAGTAGTTAGATTCTAACATTTTCTGCAGAAAATGTAAATGGCACTTGAAAAGCTGCCTGAAAATCAAGGTTATTCCACCAACTATTGATATCTGAACTCCTAAGTTAAAACATTAGTATTGTGTTGTTTAGAAATGAATACAAACTTGTTTTCTTTGCATTATTTGAGATCTGAAAACGCTGCATCTTTTTTGCTATTTTGAGACCAGTTGTCATTTTCTACAAATAAATGCTCTAAATGACAATATGTTGATTTGAAATTTGGGAGAAATGTTGTCAGTAGTTTATAGAATAAAACAAAAATGCTGCATTTTCAGCATCATTACTCCAGTCTTCAGTGTCACATGATCCTTCAGAAATCATTCTAATATGCTGATTTACTGCTCAAGAAACATTTCTGATTATTATCAATGTTATGAAATCTTTTGTAACACTACAAATGTCTGCACTGTCACTTCTGATCAATTTAATGCATCCTTACTGAATAAATGTTTTTTATAAAATAAATAAATAAACTCACTGACCTCAAACTTAACTTTTGAACGGTAGTGTATTTCATCACTTAATGTCTTATAGTGACTTTGGGAACTCAACTGTTGCAAAACAGTACAAACGACACTGGAACACAGAGGTTATCCAATCATAATAAAGATTATTTACAGACAGAAGTCATAATGTTACAGCAGCAAAAATGGCATTTTTAATTCTTAGGGTCAGTGAGTGGTGCAAAATAATGAATAACTGAATTACGGCTATTTTTAGGGCTAGCAACCTTGACTAATATTATAAGTGGACTAAACATATATACTGTAACAGTGTAGAATATGCACCTAATGCATTGAAGCTGCTATATTTGCCATCAAAAAGGAGACTCAACATATACAGTCCAGTAGTCCAATTGCTTTTTTGTTCAACAATGCAGTATGAGGGAGGTATGTGGCGGTTCTCCAATAAAATCAGCATTCAATGTTTACTTGGCCTTTGTCTTGTGTGCAATGTAGAAACCACAGCCTGAAAAGACACATCTCTCTGCCAAACCCCCAAAAAAAGACCAATATTACCACACAACTCTCTCTTAAGATGAGTTTACAACAACAAAATATATCTACTGTGAATTTTCACACTTACATCCTCATTTTTGTGTCTAAGTTACTTACAAGTACTTAGGATGAACTATAACATTGAGACATTTGAATCGCTTTATACTCAAATGGTTCAGGTGTGTTTAATTGGGGTTGGAGCTAAACTTTTTTAGGCCCTCCAGGACCGAGTTTGGACACCCCTGTTCTAGATCCCTTAATCCTACTCCACACCATACCAACTGCCTTATTAACTATTAATAAGCAGCAAATTAGAAGTTTATTGAGGCAAATGTCACAGTTAATAGTTAATTAATAGTGAGAACTGGTCCCAAAACTAAAATGTGACCAAAAACTGCATTATGTGCAATTATTATTTATTTTTTTGATAAACTAAAACTTTCCGTTTCTGTGTTTCTGTTAAGTTAAAAAATCAATTTCGGTGCATCGCTACTATTGACAATGAAACATTTTGAAGATCCTTTTTTAAACCTGTTTATTGGATGTGTTGCTGTGGTACTGAACCTGATACTGGTACTGAACACATTTCCTGAGAAACTGTTCATTTGGGTGTTTTTGGGTGGATCTAACTGAATGGCTCGATCTGAAAATAAGCGGTTTAGATAAGAATAAGGTTTAGATAAGAATGATGTGTATTAGTCTGACTGGCAGTGCATGAGTGCCTTGACTAGATCTGGTTTGGAGGAATCTGATCCGATGCGGCTGTTGTCTCACCTGTGCCACCTCCTCAAAGTCATCATGGCGTTTCTGCAGGGCTCTGGCTCTGTGCAGGGATTTGCCCACACCTGTGTGTTTACTGAGGAACGCCTCTCCATGATTCTCTATCCAGTCAATCACCTGCAACATACAAACACACACAATCCATTCAGTGCATGGAAAAAAATAACAATCACAACACAGAGCTGAAAGAGAGTCTATAAAGTGAGCTTCTGTTTTCATTAGTTTATTCAATTGATGTGAAAGCCAGTTATTTAGTAAACATAAACACACACACACACGTTTACTTAGATATCTAAATGGGGACATTCCACAGGCGCAATGGTTTTTATTCTGTACAAACTGTATTTTCTATCGCCCTACAGCAACCCTACACCTAAACCTACCCCTCACAGAAAACTTTCTGCGTTTTTTTCAATTAAAAAAAAACTTTGTTTACTTTATTTTTATACCAGTTTTACAAATGAGGACATCCCCAAAGGGAGGTTTTTGGATATTTTGTCAGGTTTAGCTCACTCTTTGGTACACATTTGTCCCCAAAATATGGTTAAGTAGGTACACACACTCACAAACACACATATATACAATATTATATATATATATAAATTTAAACTGTAAACCTAACCCTACCCCTAACTGAAATATAAAGTCTGGTTGTGGTGTGATGCTATATTAGGTACTTTTGAAACCTCTTTAAAGAGTTATATCATCTAAAAACATACACTTTACTGTATAAATATTTTCCTGAACTCTAGAGAAGACACGGTTACTGGGCTATTTTCGCCAGGAGAAAAATCTTTTTCTCTATTTGTTCTCATTGCTACTTAGGGAGAAACATTAAATCAATCTCATATGTGATTTTTCTTTAATGCAGGTGTGTATCCAGGTGCACAACATCACATGGATACTGAACCAATCTGAATCTGTGGTTTAATTTATTTAATTTTAGAAACAAACTGTAACAGGCTGGTTGATGAGGTGTCTTCAGAGTGAAGTAGGCCCAGACGAAGAGTGACTCCTCCTAGTGTCTCCTCGTCTCCTCCGGCCTGCATCCCTGCTCCTGTAAAGCCAAAGGACTCGGATTCCCCCACGCATCATATCCCGTGGTTGGTAAAGCACAATTCCATTCTGTCCTGGAAGACGGGAGAAGTCCTGAGGTGGGGAAAGGATTGCTTCCCAGACTGCTTCCCCGTGACTCCATCACCTTCTAAGAAACTCCCAGAAGTCCTCCCTGTGAATTCCACCTCCATTGAGAGTCCCGTCGAGAAGCAATCCATATACATTCCAGCCTGCTATGCCCCCTTTAGCGACGTGTTCGGCCCGAAACAGGCCTCCCGCTTACCACCACACCGGTCATGGGACTGCGCCATCGATCTCATTCCGGGTGAGCCAGTGCCTCGGGGAAAGATCTATTCTCTGTCGCTTCCCGAAAAGAAGGCCATGGAGGACTACATCAAGGAGTCGCTGGGTCAAGGTTACATCCATCCATCTACCTCCCCTGCTGCATCAAGCTTCTTCTTTGTGGCCAAGAAGGACGGAGGCTTGAGGCCCTGTATAGATTACTGAGCACTAAATAACATAACCATCAATTTCCGATATCCTCTTCCCCTTGCCCCTAATGCCCTCAAACATCTCTGGGGGGCTACCCTCTTTACCAAGTTGGACCTCCGCAGTGCCTACAACCTCATCCGGATACGTGAGGGGGATGAATAGAAGACTGCATTTGTAACTCCTACTGGCCACTACGAGTACCTGGTCATGCCCTATGGACTTGCCAACGCCCCCTCCGTATTCCAGGACTTCATGCATGAGGTGCTCCGGGAGTTTCTCCATCGATTCGTATTGTCTACATAGATGACATCCTCATCTACTCCCGGAGCCAGGTCGAACATCGCCAGCACGTTGCGGAGGTCCACCAACGCCTGAGAGAACATCACCTATTCCTCAAGGCGGAAAAGTGCACCTTCCACCAACCCACGGTACAATTCCTGGGATATAACATTGATCGGACTGGTATCCAGATGGACGAGGGGAAGGTGGAAGCCATAACCTCCTGGCCAGAACCCACTACTATCAAGGAGCTCCAACGATTCCTCGGATTTGCCAACTTCTACCGTCGCTTCATTCTAAACTACAGCAGGACCCAAGTCTCTGTCCTGTACTGTCGCCTCCCTCAAGAGAGCCTTCACTAGCGCCCCACTCCTAGTCCATCGAAATCCCGACCTCCCATTCGTCGTGGAAGTCGTCGCCTCCACTACTGGAGTGGGGGCAGTGTTATCCCAGCAGCAGGGGAACCCAGCCCGACTCCACCCATGTGCCTTCTTCTCGAGGAAGCTCAGCCCGGCGGAAGTTAATTATGACATCGGCAACAGGGAACTACTGGCCATCAAGCTGGCCTTAGAGGAGTGGAGGCATTGGCTGGAAGGGGTACGTTGGGCGTTATTCTTTACCAGGTTCAGCTTTACCATTTCATATCGCCCGGGTCCCAAAAACATCAAGGCAGACGCCTTGTCAAGCATTCATAGTCCTGTGGAAGGTCCAGAAGAAACGGAAGGTTTCCCACCAAGTATGATCATCAGTCCGACTGAATGGAGTGCCCCTTCAGTGGCCTCAAACACGGCTCCCAACAATCCACCGGGCTGTCCTCCTGGATGCCAGTATGTACCACGAACCCAACGCACCCCACTGATTCACTCTGCTCACTCCTCCCAAGGCACTGGCCATCCAGGGGCCAACAACACCCTCTTGCTGCTACGAGAGCACTTCTGGTGGCCCAATATGGCAAGGGACGTGAGAAGGTTCGTGCAAGGATGTCCAGACTGTGCTATATCCAAAAGCCCACGCCACTTACCATCGGGCAAACTCTTCCCTCTACCAGTGCCAAATCGCCCCTGGTCACACCTAGGAGTAGACTTTGTCACGGACCTGCCACCCTCTGAAGGTAACACATGCATCCTGGTAATAGTTGATCGTTTCTCAAAGTCATGTCGCCTTCTGCCCCTCAGAGGTCTCCCCACTGCACTGGAAACGGCGGAGCTTCTCTTTAACTAGGTCTTCCGCTATTATGGCATTCCCGAAGACATCGTGTGACCGTAAGCCTCTCATTCAAGAGGTGGGGCGATTCCTATGAACCTTCTGCCATGGCCACCAGGATTCCTGGAACCAGTTCCTGGGCTGGGCCGAGTACGCCCAGAATTCCCTGCGACAGCCTTCTACTGGTCTCACTCCCTTCCAGTGCGTGCTCGGGTTCCAGCCTCCACTGTTCTCCTGGTCTGGGGAACCTTCTGATGTTCCGGCGGTTGACTACTGGTTCCGGGAAAGCGAGAGGGTCTGGGACGCTGCTCACCACCATTTCCAACAGGCAGTGCGCAGGCAGAAGACGGCCGCGGACCTTCGAAGAGCCGAAACACCTACTTATCAGCCAGGTCAGAATGTATGGTTGTCAACTCGGGACATCAGACTGCGCCTGCCCTGTAGGAAGCTTAGTCCCAGATTTGTTGGCCCCTTCACCATCCTGGAACAAGTAAACCCGGTCACCTTCAAACTCCAACTCCCCTCACAGTATCGAATTCATCCCACATTCCTCACCATGACCCTGTCTATCTCCCCATAGAGCCTGGCTAGACGGAGGAACCCCCTCTTCCCTTGATCCTAGATGAGGGGTCAGTCTACCAAGTGAAGGAAATTCTGCAGTCCCGGCGCCGTGGTGGTCAGCTGGAGTACCTCGTGGACTGGGAAGGATATGGACCCGAGGAACGTTCATGGGTACCTAGGACCGATATATTGGACCCCGCCTTAATG